ATCCATCCATCCATCCATCCATCCATCCATCCATCCATCCATCCATCTATCCATCCAGCCATCCATCCATCCATCCATCCATCCAGCCATCCATCCATCCATCCATCCATCCATCCATCCAGCCATCCATCTTTTTTCCTTACATAGTGGTTCCTGTTCAGGGTGACAAGAAGCTGGAGCCTTTCTTCAGCAGTCATTTGGCAAAAGGCATGGCACACCTTGGACTGGTCACCAGACCATCATGAGGCCACATAGAGACAAATGAGACAGTAAACCAGTCATGCTCTCACTCACACCTAGGGACACTTTAGAATGATCAAACATGCAGGTTTCTGATGTTGCGACATTTTCCTGAGAGATTTGTGGTTCTTGACTATTAGACTGCAGTGGAGGAGGAAACACTATTTAGTAGCATAACAGGAGAAGATGAAGGACTTTTCTGTGCAGAACCTCTTCTTCTGGACTCAGCAGGTCTGACTATCATGAAAACAAATGTCTCTTGCTTTACAGCCAAAGGGGAAATGATGAATGGATGAGTATGGCACAAGCTAATAATTTAAAGCAACAACGGTGCCACCCTGCTCCCCCATGCACCACTTAGAACCCCAATACTCTGTCATGACAATGCAAACAACCACGACCTTGCTTGGAAAATCTTTTGCATGAAGGCACACTAGATGTATATTCCATGCTGGAAGATCCTGATCCTTATAGACCATCTACGTTGTGCCGATTTTATGTCGTAGAACTTATCTTCCTTAGATAGAGAACTTTACTAAATGGCTTTTCTATGTATGTGAATGTTCCTGTAAAGTGCCCTAAAGACAACTTTTTTGATTTGGTGCTATATAAATAAACTGAATTGAATCTAATTCTTAAACTGCAGCAGGATCTGTGCTGATGTTTATAGAAGTCACATTCACCGGCTGTCGTCAATCATATAAGCTGCTGTAGCTGTAGGTATAAAACAGAGATCAGAGCGTGTAAAGCCTAGAAGATGTGACTGGATGGTCCTAGTGAGTGAGGCCACCTGCTCCTGGGAATAAACACTAACAAACAGATTTATTACAGAATGATCTTGATGCAATATTGATGATGACTCACTCACAGGAACTTTATAGTTATTTTTAAAGCATAGTAAACCACAAAGAAGATTGCTGAAGGGAATTATTTATTTTTATTCATTTATCTATTTTGTAGCTGACACAAGGCAGACATCCGACACACATTCAACGCTTTGTGCTCTTCTTCAGTCCAGCTGAGCTCTGCACCACACTCCTTTTGGTTCTGCTCTGTCCATTTTCTAAAAAACTCACATCTGAGGTTTAGGTTTACTTGTATGCAGGTCAACACAAGGTCAACAATATAATGAAATGCTGAGGACGAGAAGAACCGTCTCGACTCGCCAAAACAAACAAACAAAAAAACAAGAAAGACAAAACAAGAATCCAAAAAAGTTCAATCTGGTCCTCTGGACATTCAAAAAAACAAAACAAAGCAAAAAAATGTAGAAACGTTTCGTCTCTCATCCGAGAGACTTCCTCAGTCTGAGGTGCTGTATTCAGCTCAGTCTCTTAAATAGCACCTTCTCAGAGTGGATCAACCAGTTTTGCTGCTGACAACCAAAACCAGCTGATCACATGCTCAAGAAGGACCATCAGCCTAACAATGGATCATTAGCACCTGATGGCTGTTTACTATTCACAGAGGGCTGAGTGATACTAGCAATCACAGCATTGTAAGAGGGGGACAGTTGAACCCGGAGGCTCCACCCCTGTTTAATGATGGACGATTTCTTTTCACAAAGATGGCCTCCTTTACTCCTCTCTCAAACCATCGTTCCTCTCTGTCCAGGATGTGAACATCTTCATCCCTGAAAGAGTGACCGCTGGCCTGGAGATGAGTGTAGACCTCAGAGTCCTGGCCTGATGATGTTGATCTTCTGTGCTGGTCCATCCTTTTGGCCAGTGGCTGTTTAGTTTCCCCAATGTAAGACTGATCACAGCCCTCCTGACACTGAACAGCATACACAACATTACTGTTTGTGCCGGGGGACTGGATCTTTGGGATGAACCAGTCTTTGCCGTAATGTATTTTGGGGTTTAAAAGCCACTGGGACGTTATGTTTAGAAAATAAACGTCTCAGTTTCTCTGATACTCCCTCAACATACGGAATGACCACTGGTCTGGGTCTGGGTTCCTCCTTTTCACCTGTTGGCTGACTGGAGTCCTGTTTGGGTTTCTTCTCTGCTTTCAGGAAGGCCCAGTTAGGATATCCACATTGCTCTAGAGCCTGTCTTGTGTGGGATTTCTCCTTCTGCCTGGCTCCTGAGCTAGTGGGGATGCTGTCTGCTCTGTGATACAGAGTCCTGATGACTCCTAACTTGTGCTCCAAAGGGTGATGGGAGTCAAACTGCAAATACTGGTCTGTGTGGGTGGGTTTGCGGTACACCTCGGTTTGCAAATGTCCTCTATCAGAGACTGAGACCTCACAGTCCAAGAAAGCCAACCTGCCATTTTTTACATCTTCTCGTGTGAACTTGATGTATTTATCCACAGAGTTGATGTGGTCAGTAAAATGTTGGACTTCCTGAGATTTAATTTTAACCCAGGTGTCGTCAACATACCTGAACCAATGACTTGGTGGTGTCCCTGAAAAGGACGTCAAGGCTCTCTTTTCTACCTCCTCCATGTACAGGTTGGCAACAATAGGAGAAACTGGAGACCCCATAGTAAAGGAGGCCATCTTTGTGAAAAGAAATTGTCCATCATTAAACAGGGGTGGAGGCCTCCGGGTTCAACTGTCCCCCTCTTACAATGCTGTGATTGCTAGTATCACTCAGCCCTCTGTGAACAGTAAACAGCCATCAGTGTGCTAATGATCCATTGTTAGGCTGATGGTCCTTCTTGAGCATGTGATCAGCTGGTTTTGGTTGTCAGCAGCAAAACTGGTTGATCCACTCTGAGAAGGTGCTATTTAAGAGACTGAGCTGAATACAGCACCTCAGACTGAGGAAGTCTCTTGGATGAGAGACGAAACGTGTCTATATATATTTTTCTTTTTGCTTTGTTTTGTTTTTTGTTTTGTTTTTGAATGTCCAGAGGACCAGATTGAACTTTTTTGGATTTTTCTACCTGGATTATTGAGCATGCATCAGGACAAAACAAGAAGTCAAAAGTGAAAAAGAAATACATCTACAGCAGCATGGTCCTGTTAGCAGAGTGGTTCTGTTAGCAGAATGGTTGTGTTGGTAGAGTGGTTCTGTGAGCAGAGTGGTTGTGTTGGTGGAGTGGTTCTGTTTGCAGAGTGGTTCTGTTAGCAGAGTGGTCCTGGTACCATAGTGGTTCTGTTAGCAGAGCGGTCCTGTTAGCAGAATGGTCCTGTTAGCAGAGTGGTTCTGTTAGCAGAGTGGTTCTGTTAGCAGATTGGTCCTGTTGGTAGAGTGGTTCTGTTAGCAGAGTGGTCCTGTTAGCAGAGGGGTTCTGTTAGCAGAGTGATCCTGTTAGCAGAGTGGTCCTGTTAGCAGAATGGTTCTGTTAGCAGAGTGGTTCTGTTAGCGGAGTGGCTCTGTTAGCAGAGTGGTCCTGTTAGCAGAGTGGTTCTGTTAGCAGAGTGGTTCTTTAAGCATAGTGGTTCTGTTATCAGAGTGGTTCTGTTAGCAGAGTGGTTCTGTTAGCAGAGTGGTCCTTTTAGCAGAGTGGTTCTGTTAGCAGAGTGGTTCTGCTAGCAGAGTGGTTCTGCTAGCGGAGTGGCTCTGTTAGCAGAGTGGGCCTGTTAGCAAAGTGGTCCTGTTAGCAGAGTGGTCCTGTTGGTAGAGTGGTTCTGTTAGCAGAGTGGTTCTGTTAGCAGAATGGTTCTGTTAGCAAAGTGGTTCTATTAGCATAGTGGTCCTGTTTGCAGAGTGGTTCTGTTAGCAGAGTGATTCTGTTAGCAGAGTGGTCCTGTTAGCAGAGCGGTCCTGTTAGCAGAGTGGTTCTGTTAGCAGAGTGGTTCTGTTAGCAGAGTGGTTCTGTTAGCAGAGTGGTTCTGTTAGCAGAGCGGTCTCTGCTAGCAGCATGATGATAGTAACATCTGCAGCAATGGACAATGACTGCCCTCCAGAACCTGGTCTGGCAGACACAGAACATCCAAAGTTCCCCATGGAACCGAACTGTTCCATAAATGGAATGGTAAATGGACTGTACTTATACAGCTCCTTTCTATCTTATTGAGATACTCAAAGCGCTTTACAACAATCTGTGCCTCATTGACCCATTCATACAGCACTCTAGATCTATACAAAGATAATTGAACAAATCCTTCTAAAGAGACTAATCAGAGCTTTATCACATTCATACACTGAAGGGACACACATCAGAGGCAACGAGGGGTTCAGTGTCTTGCCCAGGGACACTTCGGCATGTGACTGCTGTGGGGTTCGAACCCGCAACTCTTGCATTGGAAGACGACTGCTCTAACCACTCAGCCACAGCCGCCCAAATATATAGAGTTCAATTCGTGCAGGCAGATGGAGGATCATGGAGGAAGCTGCCATGACAGTCCAGAGCATGAGCCTGAGGCAGGAAGGAGGCCAGAAACTGAACCACGATGGCAGGATAGCAAGGCAGTGACACACAACATCCTTCAGACGGCTCGATCCTCCCTGTGTTTCCACCAGTCTGTCGTGTTCTTGTTCAACA